TTTTTTTTTTTTTTTCATATTTATTTTTCATTTATGGTTTTGGAGGGGAAGTTTCTTTATAAGAGAAAGACATCACTGACACATTTAATATTATATATATTTCTTTCCATTATCCACATTTAAAAGATGAAGGACTTGCGAAAGTGTATTTTTTTCCCATTATCAGTCGAGAAAGAACATACATAAAACGCGCTCATAAAACTGGTACCCGTAATATGTCGCGCGTACAAGAAATATACATCAACAGAGATCGCTTCATGAATGGAATCATAGAATCATAGAATCATAGAGTAAGAGAATCATAGAATCATAGTAATCATAGAATTATACAATCATAGAATCATAGAATTATACAATATCATAGAATCATAGAATTACAGAATCATAGAATTATAGAATTATAGAAACATAGAATACAATAATAATAAATAAGTTTGTCAATGAAAGACACATTCAACAGTGTGACAGAATTTACGTATACATTCTCGTACTTTCTAGATGCCTCCGATGAGGAATCGCAATCGTTATCAAGCGTGTCTTGTTCCTTACCCATATACTTGTGTATTAGGGTCGCGCATTCCCGTCTTTCATTAACATGTTAACGAACTTAGGTCTAATTAATTGTGACAGTATAACGTTAATATACGTATACATACATACATACATATATATATATATATATCAACATTCAACATACAACATACAACATACAACATACATGTTACATATCGATCTAACGACTAGTACGAATGAAAAGCTTCACAAAGAGCTGGGTGAAACACGCGCACACGGTGAACCAGCATTGAGCTCAGAATCAAGTCCTCCTTTCATAAAGTAATTCTACTCCTTTCAAGAATCTCTAAACTAAATGTATTTAATTATTTTTCTTTTTTTATATGTATATCTATATATATATATATATATACTTTTTTTTTTTCTTTAACTCTCGCGAGCATCGAATCGGTCGATGCACGGATAAAGGATAACATACAAAATCTCTGAGAAGAATTGACGAAAAATCTGGACTCAACATGGTGCACGCAAAACGATCGTCATAAACCGAAAGTGCTTCGCTTCTTCTGGCACGTTTGCCATTTTTCTCTCTCAAGTATCTCGTGCAATATTCTTCCTCTCAAAATACAATCGTGGTCTCTATCTTTCTCATTCACAATTCTCCCTCGACTTTTTTCGTTTGCATAGCAAGACAGCGCATTCCTCTTCTCCTCTCCGTATAACAATTGTACATTCTAATATTCTCCCATCGATTGCGGAGCGCACACGTGACGCGCGCATCACACGCTTCAACAAAGGCAAAGACAAAAGATTTCGTGCCGTCAAACGCTAAAAGCTCGATCCATCGCGATTTCTTCTTTTTTTTTTCTTCTTCTTCTTTTTTCTGGTCTACACAGGATAGAATTTGTCGTCCGCTAGGGGATGAAAAACATTGGGGGGGGGGGTGAGAGAAATAATTGGACGGCATGTTGCAGAAAATCATATCAAGAGAGATGTTTGTTTCCTATCGATCGATTCATTTTTCTTCTTAATTGGTTGACTATTGATAACTCGATACGTCACGTGTGAACACTCTCGGCCGCATATTAAAACACGCTCAACGATATCAGCGTGGAATATTACAAAACGCTTAATAAATATATATGGGCGACTTTCAACCCAAGGAAACAACGTGTTTCTCGCGACGCAACATTAACAAACGCGCCCGATGATGATAATAATTACACTTATACAATAATAATAATAATAATAATAATAATAATGATAATGATAACAATAATAATATTAAAAATATCAATCTGCATGGATCTTTGCCAATTTAATTTCTTCCCTCCTTCGGCTCTTGATCTCTCGTCAAATTAAATTTATCTTTGGCGTGCAACATCAACGAATAACAAATGTAAAAGATCGTCGCGTAGAAAACGTAACCATGGCTTCTTAATTGTTCAATTTTTTTGTTTTTTCTTTTTTTTTCTCGGGGAAAAAATACGACCGACGATACTCGACAATACTCGAACGGTGTCTTTTGGCCACACGGCAGTGTAATGTCACTTCGAATATTCCTCGAACCCGGTGAAGATGTTTTCTTTTTTTCTCTCGACAGTTGTTTCTTCCTATTTTTTTATGTATATATATTTTTTTTATTTTTATACACATACACACACATATATATATATATATATTTATATTTATATAACCTGTTAAGATAGTACAATTTGCGTAACACATTCGGAAATAATTCTGCTCGTTAATAATTAATTTCTTTTCAGTAAATACAATTAAATATAAGTATAAATCTATATAAGGAGAAAGTTTGAAACTTTTTTTTTTTTTTAATTTTTTTCAAATTTTTATATATATATACATTTATATTACTCTACTAACACAGTGTATTTTGCATAACGTTACATAAGACATAAAACAACACACTGCTTATCAATTCTTTCCATTATTCAATTAAATATAAATAATAATTGATACAAGGAGAAAGTTTGGAACTTTTTTTTTTTTTTCACACTTTTAAATCTTATATATTCGCCCTTGTATAATAGAGGGCGAGTTATCTAACAATTGACATATGTGTAGCGTTAAAGATATATATGTATGCCTCGTGCATATCCGTTTACCGTTTTGTACGATTCACGGATCATCGATGGATGGAATTATCGACGGAGGTTCGAAAAGCGAAATCAATCGAAATGACAATTCTTTTTTTTTTTTTTTTAACGATCTGTCGACACCTTGCCTCCTCCTTTCTCCCTTTCTCTTTATATATTCCTTTCTCATCTTCATCGTGCTCGAGGATCATATTCGTACATGCTGTCGAAGAAAGCACCCCGTCGAAAGGAAAACGCGGAACAGACTCGCTGTATCTTCCTTTTTCAAACTTTTCTTCCTTTCTTCCATCGTCTCTCCCTTTGCCCTCGATTAGAAAAAGAAATAGAGAAAAAAAAAGAAAGATGTAGTCAGACGTGGTCTCACTCTCTTTTCCCTCTCTGTATCTGTTATTGGTTAGAAAAAAAATAGAAAAAAAAGATGTGGTCTCACTCTGTTTTCCCTCTCTGTATCTGTTGTTGGTTAGAAAAAAAAAGTAGAAAAAAAAGATGTGGTCAGACGTGGTCTCACTCTCTTTTCCCTTCTGTTTTCCCTCTCTGTTCTCGGTTAGAAAAAAATGAAATAAAAAATACCAAAAGAAACGCAGTCAGACTTGATCAGATTCTCTCTCGCGTTTCCTCTCGCCTCTGTTCCACTCTCTTTTCTTATTACTACTTACATCTTATTACTAGGATATGTCGCCCGCGGGCCACGGACAAACACTTCCCCCCCTCTGCTTCACCGGCGGCCACCACCATGCCTACGTGGACTCTAATGCACAGTCAAATTCCTTCTTTTCTAGTTACCACGTATTCACGCGCGCTCATTACCATCCATATCCTTGAGTTGTCAGCCGGCTGATCTCTCCAGTAAGTACGTGTAAATCTAGTGGTAAAGAGAGAAGGAGGACTTCTCAGAGTCTGGTTGATATGGAGAGGGCCGCG